TACTTTTCTAGGATCTTGTTATTTTTATGCAGCTTGGAAAAAGTGAGACTTGCTTCAGATTAAGTAGTCCTGGCCTACTACACTACTACTTTCTGAGCTCTCATACCCCAGGGCTTACTTCTCCAGAATCCAGAATCGGCCATGGCTCCAGTTGCTATTTCGGGTCATTTCCAGTGATCACCATACTGTAGGGGCTTTCTATTGCCCTAGAAATCAAATATAAACTACAGAGCCTTTCCTTTAAAGTCGGAGACATGCCACTCTCAACCTCCCTGCTCCAGTATAAACAGAAGCTCTCCACTGTGTTCCCACCACATGGACCTCCTCATCACCCTCATTTTCAGCCCTCACTCTCCTGTTTTCAACTTTTGCCTGGGCTGCAAATCTCTCTTCTCTCCTGTTTTAAAATTCACAATAACTTTACTATTAACATGCCATTCAGCACTCACTTTTCATCAATTATCCTAGATTTTCCCCAGCTAATGGTACATGTTTCCTAAACTAATCAGTACTCTTCTACACACATAATTTGTCTATTTGGATCATGGAATCTTAGCATTGGAAGGGTCTTTGGAGGCCTATCTTACATCTACAGTAGAAACAACTTCCAAAACATCCCTGACCTCATTTTGGCCTGAGGGCTGCCTAACTGGTCTGCATAGGCCCTGTCAGTTTAAATCTAAATTAAATCTCTGCAAGCCCCCCACCCAATTACCTCTCTCCCTAAATCTCATGAAATGGCAATTGCTACTGTTTTCAAAGAAAGAAGGAAGGAAGTTAAGGAAAGAAAGAAGGAAAGAAGGGAGGGAGGGGCTCTAGATTAAAATTTTATCCTCCCTGCCTGTTTCAGTTATCTCTTGGTATATCATCTCAAAACTTTGTGAGCTCAAACAATATTTTTTATTATTTCTAAAGATTTTGAGGATTGCATAGGTGTTCCCCCTGCTACCTGGGAACTGCATGAATGCTCATCTGGTACCTCACTTGGGGCTGGAGGGTCTAAGATGATTTAACTCACATGCCTGGCAATTCATGCTGTTGGCTCAAACATATGTGACCTCTCATCCTCCATTAGGCTAGACTGGGCTTCTTCACAGCATGTGATCTCAGATTTCCAAAAGAGTGAAGTAGAATCTGTAATGCATTTTTTTTTAATTATTGAAATATAGTTGACATACAATGTTACATTAGCTTCAGGTGTACAATGTATTGATTTGACAATTCTATACACTACTCAAGCCTCAGGAGTCACAGTGCCGTTTCTGCTGCCTTCTATTTATCAAGTAAGTCCCAGTTTGACAGGAGGAAAAAACAGATTCTGCCTTAGTGAAGGACAGTGAAGGACAATGTCACATTAAAAGAATGCAAAAAATTTCCAAGCCATCTACTGCAGTTTCAAACCTCTGGATACTGGGGCAATCAAATCCCTGCCTAGGGAATCAGTGGCCTTTCCTCATGTCTAAGACAAATTTGTCCTTCTGGATCCACCCCTTCTACCAGCTCAGGGGCTCTCTCTTCTGTAATATTAGCCTTTCTCTTGTTACTAGCTCTTTCTCAACATCATTTATCAATATATGGATGCCTTCCATAATAAAATTAAGCTCACCTCTAACCCTTGATGGTTTGCCTGGGAAAAAAAAGCCCACACATATTGACATGGCCCATCTCCCTCATTTTTAGCCAAACATCTTGAAATGAGGTCTGCTCTTTACTCATGGCTCCCATTTTTTACATTCTTTCCTCTTTGTCTTTTGAGATACCACTGTTTTATGATTCTCTCTCTCCTTCTCTGGACACTCCTACCAGTTTTCTTCCTTTGCTTATTAAAATCTTAGGTGTTATTTTTCCCTTCAGCTCTCTTCTTACTTTGTACTCTCATAAGGCAGTAGTGTTTACTCTTAGGGCCTCAACCATGCTCAGAACATGCTCATACATGTTCCACGTGGTTTCTGAGATGCTCACCAGCAAGACTGAGCCCAGAGGCCTGCAGAAGTAAACCATTATCAATGCACTCTATTGGCCTTTCTTCCCTCTATCATTTTCCCACCTCCACATTTGTGTGTGCTTGGAATTGCCTCCCCAAAATCTACTGGCAAAGTCTTTGTCTAGGGTCTGCTTTTGGGGGAACCTAGAGTAAGATAACTTATATTCTATTTGTAGAAATTGTTCTCCCTTCCTCTCCACTTCCTAAATTCAGATTCTTCTTTCTTGTCTGGGTCTAGAAACTCTTACCTTCACTCTCTGAGTCTAATTTTCCCCTTTCCCAATTTATTCATGACACTGCAAGCAAATAAGCTCTGTAAAGCATTTGATCATGTCATATCCCTCTTTAAAAGCATTGGTGGTTCCCAACTCTCCCCTCCATATAATAAATCCAAATTCCTTAAACTGGACTATAGGAATGTTTGTGATCTGGACACTGTTTAGCTTGACAGGCTCAACTTCTACTCCAGCTACAATGAGCTACTTGAACTTACCAAAAGAGCTGTTTCTTCTTGCTTCTAAGACCTTGCTGAAGTTGCACCAAGTTCTGACCTATTCAGTATTATAATAGTCCATTTATAGTTCTGCTTCCCCCACTAAGTTTTAAGCAACCTAAAAAAATGTGTTTTATTAATTTAATATCCCCAGGGCCTAGTGTACATGCTGGGCTTGTAGACTGTTCTTAATAAACATTATTCAATCCATCTAGCCTCAACTTAAATATTTTCCATAATAGTAGGCTCACTACTTTCCTCTAAACTGTCTTAACTGTAAAACTAATCAATCACATTAAAAAAAAGCTTTGAAAATATTGGGGAAAGAACACTAACCATAACTTCCTTAATATAATTTGTTTTTTGATGAACTCCCTTTTAATCTATGTTTTACATAGATGTAGTAGTTCCATTTTACAGATGAAGAAACTAAAGCACAGAGCCTAAGTGACTTGTCTTAAATCATGCAACTAAGTAAGTGACAAAGCTATGATTTGAATGCATGAAGTCTGGCACCAAAGTTCATGCTATATTTAATGGAGAGGATTAAATTACTTAGTATATGGAAAGCACTTAGAACAGTATATGGCACAAGGTATAGATTTAGTAAGTGCCAGCTATTATTGTCATTGCTATTATGATGAGTACATTTAATATGACATTTGTCATCCACTTTGAATTGTCATAGGTTTTCACTAAATGAGGTAGATTTTTACTTGAATTAGATCATAAATGATTTTAATACCACCATACAATCTTATTAACTATTATTTTTTATGACTGCAATATTCTATAGAATGACCCTGCAATAATTAATTAGTTCTTGCTATTGACTATATTTTTTCATCTTGTATATTGTATATAACACTATGAGCATTATTTTTTATGCATTAAGCTTTTTCCCTTAATTTAGGCCATTTTTTTAGGATAGATTGTCAGAAGTAAGAATTATGCATTAAAAGGTTTAAACATTTTTATGGTTATTTATGCATATAAAAAATGGCTTTACAAAGGCATTATATCATAGGTATGTTTTAGGGAGTCTGTTCAACAATTCAATATTTGCATGTTATAAAACATTTTCATTAATACTAGCTTTATCCAAAGAATTTACACAAAATAAATCCCATTTCTTTTCAATATAAGAGACTTCCAAATATTTAGATTTTTTTTTTTAATATATGCCTTCAGTACCTACACTCCTATGGAACCTCTCAACTCTCCTTCAGATATTTTTTTTTTTTATGCTAAATATCCCCAACTTTCCCTCAAGCATCTCTGGTCTGACAAAATTACCAGGTGCTTAACCATCTGAGTCCTAACTACCAAATACATTCCATTGTGCCTATGTCCCTTTTAATTTGGAGATTACAGACATGGTCTGACAGTCCAGAGCACAGAGGGGTGATCACTTTCCTTGACCAGGGCATCTATTTCCAGCAATGCAGCCTAAGGTCACATTAGCACTTTTGATACTAAAATACACTGTTGGCTCATGTTTACTTGCTATCAACAAACCCCCCTGTCATTTTTACGTGAACTCCTATTAAGTCAGGTTGCCCACATCCTGTATTGATGTAGATAAAAGTATGCAGCTAAGTGGAGTTATTTACATAGGTTCATATTAAATTTTAACTAGTTTATTAAGTTTCTAGTTCCAGAATTTTGAGACACTTCTGATTGCCCAAATAGATATACTGATTTACTTGATGCATAACTTTATGCTTTCTGTATCTTCTCAAAAGTCATAAACAAAGATACAGGCTAAGACAACCCAAGTACATTCTTATGGCACATAATTAAAGTCCTTTGGTTGATAGTAATCAGCATCTTAGTATATAGCTTTTCAGCCAGCAATGAATCAGCAGCTGTGAATCCACCCAAGTGCCTTAACACTCAACCACATTCATCCACCCTATTCCTGAAGATATCACAGGAAAACTTGTTAAATGGCTTCCTAGGACTAAAATAAATCATGATTATATTTTTTCATTAATTATTATTAAAGCAATTCTATAATTCTGTCTAAAAAGACAGTAAGTGATTTTAACCTAGGTCTCATAACTATCCTTATTTTCTAAATGCTTACAAACTAGTATATACTAATACTAAATCTTATGATAATCAAATGTTTATATTTGCTAACTTCTCTATGAAATTATCAACTCCTCATAGGAAAAAGTCATTTATACTTCCATGTATGCTTTGTAAACTAACACAGCAGCAGGCTTAACCACTATTTATTACTTCAGCCCCCAAATAAAATATATAATAAAGAAATACATAATACAATAAATAAAATATACTGAAATCTCTCCTCTATATATTTTATAGTTTTTTAATACAAATCAACCTGCAATTTGAAGACACTCAGCTTATTTTGAATAACATTACATTACTAACAGAGGGTAACTATCTGATTATGTCTATGAGACTGTCATTGTCTTAGAACTAGTCATAAAATAACTAAAATAAAATGTTTCCTTTTATTCAAAAATGTTAATTGAGTTATTTAACTTCCAGGGTGCTTATTGGTTCTCCTCTAGTTGGTCAACCCAAGAACAGAACTGGAGATGTCTATAAGTGTCCAGTTGGGAGAGGCAAACCATTACCTTGCATAAAGTTGGATCTACCAGGTATGTAAAGTCAAAACATTAAAGCCTGATCCTAAATTATACCCAGTATTCTCATTAAAAATAAATTTTAACTCAAGAAAAGATTACAAGAATCTATAAATATTCTTCAGTTCTTATCACTCAGATTCACATAAAATGACATTTTGATTCTGTCTGCCCTTCATTTGCTTTAGAATTCATGATAGAATATCCATAGATTTAGAAATAAAAGACCTTTCCAAGTAACCCAAGTAACCCCACCCATTGCATTGCCTCCAAAAAATTTAACTGTTCCTTTTTTTTTTTAAGATTTTTAAGATTTTATTTATTTATTTGAGAGAGAGAATGAGAGACAGAGAGCACGAGAGGGAAGAGGGTCAGAGGGAGAAGCAGACCCCCCGCTGAGCAGGGAGCCTGATGCGGGACTCGATTCCGGGACTCCAGGATCATGACCTGAGCCGAAGGCAGTCGCTCAACCAACTGAGCCACCCAGGCGCCCCCTTAACTGTTCCTTTTTTAAAAGAAAATAGCACAGGACTTGTAATACATAAATTCTTTTAAAGAGAATAGTACAAGGTAAATTTATATAAAAATGGGTATGTTTGATAGAACATGACTAGGAACTTCTTACTAGAACTATCCAAGAATTAGAATCCTATCAGTGTTCTATACAGTATTAAATACCATTAAATTAGTATATATTTTGTAGGTTTAACTTCAAATATTTTATTTTTCAGTTCTCTTTTTTCAATTTTGTTTGTTTATTATGAACATTTTTCCTTTACATTTATGAGCATAGTTATAATAGCTGCTTTAAAAATCTTGTCTGATAATTAGAACATCTGGAATATCTCAACATCACTTTCTATTTATTACCTTTCTCTTGAGCTTGAGTCACATTTTCTGTTTTATCTTGTGTTTTGTAATTTTGGATTATATCCTGGATTATACTTTTGAGTTATAAGTTTGGGGATTCTAGATCTTTTATGTGTTTTTGAATAGTCTTAACTTTTTGTTTTAGCAGACAGTTTACTTGGCTGAACTCAATTTCCAAACTGCAGTGGGAAGCAGTTAAAATCTCTATTCAGTTCTTCTAATTGTAGCTGAGCTGTTTGAAGTTTGCCCTGCACATATACAGTTCAAGTCCTTCAGATATTTGGACAGAATATACATGTATATGTTGGAACTCTCTTTTTGTGGTTCTACTTTCCAAGATATACCCCCTCACTTTGCAGTTGCTGTCATTACCCCAATTTCTGTCCTCTGTTTCTTCAAAACAGTAAGACTTTGAGCTTTATTTGAGGTTTAGCCACTGACAAGAGCCTTCCCTTAGGGGAAAACAAACACATAAACAGGAAACTCACGCCGTGCTAATCTTTTCTTACAAGTACATACTTGCCTCCAGTTTCTGTCTGCTTTTGGTTGCTTTCCAGTGCCTTCAGATGGTTTTTTTCTTTTTTTTTTTCTCCTTTTCCTAGAGTTATAGTTGTTATTTGCAAAGGACTTGTTCTGATAGGAGCTATTCTTTCATTACTGGAAACTGTAATAGAGTTTTAACATTAGCATGGAGATTTTAACTACATCAACAACAGTGGACAAGTTCCTGCTATATAGTCCCTAATGTCCCAAGAATGTTCATCCAGTGTCAACCCTAGTATAAAAAACTCTAATCCAGATTATTTAAAACCCATGTAGATAATAGCCCAGTTCCAAGTACTTGCAAGGCAAACCAGACTAAACTCTGGGACAAAGACCACTATCAGATTAGGAAGACAGTGTGACCATTCAGGAATCTCTGCTTCCATTCCCTCACTTTAAACTGTATATGGTCTTAAGGTAGGAAAAACTTCTGGGCATTAACAGTGAGATAAATCTTTCTTGAACCTGAGTTTTGCCACTTTCAAATATTTCAGCACTCTGCTAAGCAGGGTTTAGAAGATTTTTATTTTCCTGTCCAATCTTTTTTTTTTTTCTTTTTTTCAATATGAGTAACTGGAACTTCTTGCCAATTTTGCTAGGTTGGCATGCTTCAAGACCCAACATTCCTATCTCGAATGTCAAATGGCATCCTTTCATTGTGTTTCTTTTCTCCAAATGTCCCGAACACTGCTCAGTCTTGCTCCAGTTTTGTTTGTTACCTTCATCATGTCCCCATGATGGTGAAATTAATGGTCATAAACTTATATTTGATATTTGAGGGGGTTTTTTTTTTCTGCTCTACTACTCATTTTCCCTCTTGTCAGAAATCATGTTTTATCATTGGTTATTTATAACATATAGATATAACATGCAAGGTAGGTGTGTAAGTTTACATTATGTCTATAATATTATTAGGTTAAATATTTTATTTGTTTTAATTAGCAAAAATGTGTGAAAGGCTATCCCACATTCTCTCATTGCCCCAATAGTTCTGCATTCTTTTATAGTTCAGCAAAACTATTTGAGACAGCTATCCAGACAAAGTTTCTGGGACATAAGCCAGGTTTTTGGCCTTAGCTTGTTCATTATATTCCTTAATAATACTTTGAAGACTAGTTGAATCAGACAAAGAAAGTGCTATGATATGAGCAAAGCAAATAGAATGTCTTAATGAGAAGACACTTAATTATACTTTGTTTTCCACCCTCATAAAATTTTGTTCTATTTTTAGTTAATACATCAATTCCCAATGTCACGGAAATAAAGGAGAACATGACTTTTGGATCAACTTTAGTCACCAACCCAAACGGAGGGTTTCTGGTAAGATAGCAAAGAGTTGGTTAATGAACCAGGAATGCTGTTATTCTAAGACTTTATAAAATCTGTTACATAATTTTTAATCTTATGGTTTTTAATTTTTTAAAAGGCATGTGGCCCCTTATATGCCTATAGATGTGGACATTTGCATTACACAACTGGAATCTGTTCTGATGTCAGCCCCACATTTCAAGTCGTGAACTCCATTGCTCCTGTACGAGGTACACATTTTATGCAATGTTCTTACATGTTTGAAAAGTGTAGGCAATGAATGAGACATACGTATACACAGGAGCATACCAAAAAGCTTGAAGTATTTTCTCAGCTGCCAGCATTACCAATTTAGGTAAATGTTTGCTTTGCCAATTTATAACCAAACCTCACTGCTATTTTTGGAGCTGATTATTAGTGTAAATAACCTTTAACAGAGTCTTGTTTAAAACATCATAGCTAAAGCTGTCACATTGTTTTTATTTAAAGAGTGAGTCTCTTTGAAGAAAGTAATCTCATTTGAAATACACAGAAAGAGAACAGTTATATAAAAAATTCATATTGAGAAAATTTCCAAAGATAACTCATACAATGTTGATTAAAATTAAGTAGAGATGAGTTTTAATTGATAAGAACCCCAACCAATTGCTATTGAATGCAGTAGTATTTATCACCTTTACTTTTCCTAAAACTATTTTTTCTGATTTTAAAATCCAGTGTATCCACTATGTAAACTATCAGCTTATCTTTTAAAATGAGCTTATTTCAGCTATAAAAACACTCCATACACCTTCATACTATCTAAAAAGACAAACTCCAAATTTGCACGGTTGACTCTTTTTATTACAGAATGCAGCACCCAACTGGACATAGTCATAGTGCTGGATGGCTCCAATAGTATTTACCCCTGGGAGAGTGTTACAGCTTTTTTAAATGACCTTCTTGAAAGAATGGATATTGGTCCTAAACAGACACAGGTATGTGACTACGCATTTTGACTTCTGTTGTTCTAAAGATAAAAATGTATAGATTTTTAATAATACAAAGTGCTCTGAAAATAAATTAATCAATAAAGCTAATATTCAGTATGAATTTTATATTCTATATGTCTGACCCTGTTATTTTCTAAACAGAAAATATTATGAAAACTGCCATTTCTAATGCTCTTAGAAAATATCCCCTATAAATCTCTGTAAAATCATGATTGTATTCTTACTTATAAGGCAAGTGTAGCCACCTTTGGTAATATCAAAGCAGGGTGTCAGAATTTGTGGAAACTAATCTAACATCCTAAAGAACACATCACATTACAATCTCCTTTCTCATATTATACAAGTAAATTCATAAGTGACCACAGGATCGCTTAAGGTCCATTTTTCTCATATTTAATAATTTCTTTTCTTAAGCAAAAAGCACAGGCTCCATGTTTTAGCTACAGTTAAGTTTAAATTTTTTTTTTTTAATTTCTCCCCATGAGTATCTGTTTCTAAACACATCCCCTTTATTGTCATTAAATGAAGTGAAACTTACCATGTGGCTCTCCCACTTCAGACACTGAGTTTGGGTTTAACTAATCTAATGTTTATTAAACTGAGGGTTCTAGAGGGGAGGGGGGTAGGAGGAATGGGTTAGCCCAGTGATGGGTATTAAGGAGGGCACGTTCTGCATGGAGCCCTGGGTGTTATACGCAAACAATGAATCATGGAACACTACATCAAAAACTAATGATGTAATGTATGGTGATTAACATAACATAATAAAATTTAAAAAAAACTTATATGGCTGTATGGCTTAAAATATGGAGATGACAGTGAACAAAAGGCAAATTAAATGTCAGGGTGAAGTCAGTGCCTTGAGAGCAGAAATTAGTACGGGAGTCAGAGTCAAAATGGTTGTTGCATGGTTTGGGGACTGCAGGAGAGCACAGGACACTTTAGGACTGCACAAGCAGACCAATGTCTTTCCTTTTCTTTCTGAGAGCTCGACTTTTGGAGAAATTTCTGAGGCACTGAAAAAGTGGTCTGACTGCATTAATATTTGGCACACCCACACATAGTGTGGGACCTAAATACACACAGATGTGTGTATGTGTGTGTGTGTGTGTGTGTATGATATGCTTGTATATATATATTTCTGTATATGTATACCTATAAATACAAATTTATATACACATATATATAAAATGAATTTTCCCAAAAGGATAGTAGTTGAAGATTGCAAAGTAGATGCAAACCTCAAAGTGAAATGTCATATGGCCATGTTCCAAGGCTGAAGAAGTGAGAGCTAGGTAAGGGGCAAGGCTGTGTATATCCTACTGTACAATAAAGAACATCTTGAAATCAGTGTAAAATATTTAAAGAAAATGAACTTATGCATCACAAAATGTAAATTTTCCTGGATGCAAGTTTCTCACTTGCAGTTAATCTTCCCAGGTGAATTACCAGAGGTTTGGAGGGGATATTATTATCTCTTCTTGCTACAGGGCATTAGGCAGCCTGCATCCTTTAAAAGACCACTCCAGAATGTGACTTGCTCCTCCATTTTTTTTTCCCTTCTGAGGACCTCTCTCTTCCTTCTTCCTCTCTTTTCCTATCCTTTCTCTCTTTGGTCAATAAAATTTCATGGAGCTACAAAATTAAAGCTGGGCAGAATTGTGGGGGTCATTTAGCCCCAAATCTCAATTTATGGAGGGGATGGAAGAGTCTAAGTAACTTGTTCAAGGTTACTTCCTTATTGATGACAGATCAGAAACCATAGCTTTTCCAACTGCAATCGGGCTCTCTGTCCTTGCGGAGACCTCTACTTCTGGAGAAGTTTCAGAGCTGGTCCTAAATATTAGGTCTCTAGTCCTTTTCATTTCATCATGACTGTCTCTGTCCTTCTGTGGCCAGCGTCGTGGCACTCTCTTCCCTGACCCCTGACACACCTGCCATGAAATGGCTGGACCGCAGCTCTGTCCTCTCTCACTGCCTTCCCCAGGATGTGCTTTCTTCACTTCCACCTGTTTTGCCTACCCCATTTGCTTCCTTATCCGGTCCTTTCTTTCCAAAGTCAAGAATAGTCTTGGAATATTTTTTTTAATTTCAAGTATTTTTTATTCATCTGGAAATTTTATTTTATTTTTAAATTCATTTATCTGTTTCACTGTAAAAAATGCATTTATCTGTAGCTATTTGCAGACAACAGTGCAGCAGTGACATGTTTGAAGTTGCTCCACAACTTCAAGAAGGAAATCTACAAGGCTCTCTTAGAAAAATAACCACCGCCTCAGTGGGAATCTGTGCCAGTGACTCTGTTTTGTAAAGAAATAGATAATAATCCATTGCTTATATGCTCAACCCACCCTGCTGCAATTTTGATGTTTCTATCCACTAGAACTGTAATTAATTTTATATTTCTATAGTGAAAGTCCTAATAAAGGAGCTATTCTGCCGGCCACCAGTGGAATTCTAGCCTGCCAGTGTGGGCTCTATGGACTCCTATGTCTTTCCTTGGGGGGAACAATCACTCTATTCAGAGGAATAGGGGCCAGGCCTTAAGGGTTCAGATGCTACCAGTGAATGGGAGGGAAATGAACATACTCTGGGGCAAAAGAGTCAGATCACATTTACTCAGTTCTAGGACCCCATTCCACAGAGGGGAAAATTTCAGAATGCAACCCTGTGCACTGAGTCAGTTGTGATATCTGCTGACTTCACCCAAGGAAACTTTCTTCCTAAGGAGAGAGGAGCTTCTTAAATGGCTAAATTTTTATGTCACATTTTGCTTGTATAATTCATTGTGGAGTTTAGCCATACTCCTTCATTCATTTACTCAAATGTTTTTCCTGAGGGTTTACAGTGTACTGGGCTCTGGGCTAGGGCTTGGATAATTGTGGAGAATAAGACAGACACAGCCACTGCCCTCATAGGGCTTCTGTATAATGCAGTGTTTCTCCAAAACTGGCTCATAGAATTTCTTTTTCCAAATCCGTGAGATCCTTGGGCTGTACCCCAGATTTTCAGAATTGGAGTCTCTCAGGGTGGGGCTCTAGAGCCTGCATTTTAAGTAAGCAAGCGACATGATCCTTAAACATGGTAAAGTTTGAGAAACACAGGACTAACGCATTATTATATATTATGTACGTGTGTCTGCTGCATCTCTAGATATAGACTTTATATCACCTTTTAATCCTTTTCAGTGGCAGCCAGTGCTTTGCTGTGATATAGTGGGCCCTTAATGAGACTCTGTTGAATAAATGTGTATATCATAATTAATGCTTTTAAAAATTTTTCTCTGATAGGTGGACATTTAATGAGACACTTTTTCTATAACTGGCATTTTAATATTCTTTTAAGTATATTACTTTATACTTTGGGCTTTAGCGTTTATACTTTAGTATTTTCTAATCTTTTTCTATTTTGGCTTAAGTTGTATTGATGACTAGTTTCATAAGCAATTCTCTAAATGAAATGGATTGAAAAGGACATGTTTACTAAGCCATCAATTTTGCTAAACTGTATTTAATAAGGTTTTAAGTGTAACACATTTAAGCTCCCTTTAAAATTTGACTTTCCGGGGCGCCTGGGTGGCTCAGTCCATTGAGCTGCTGCTTTCGGCTTGGGTCATGATCCTGGGGTCTTGGGATTGAGCCCCGCATCCGGCTCCCTGCTCGGCAGAGAGCCTGTTTCTCCCTCTCCATCTGCCTGTCACTCTGCCTACTTGTGCTCTCTCTCTGTCAAATAAATAAATAAAATCTTTAAAAAAAAAATTGACCTTCCTTCAGTGGATTCAGAAAAGAAATTTGTTCATAGAAATTTTGGAAAAATACTTGCTCTTCAAAGAAATGTGTACAGAAAAGTATGGTTATCTCTCATGTGGTCTTATAGTAATTCTCTCCAAAAACATAATTTATTTTAACAACCATTTTTTTCCCTGACTGATGGTAACATAATTTAAATAAGTTTGGATTGTTTTGTCTTTTGTTTTTGTTTTTGTTTGTTTTCAATTAAAGCACCCAATTCTGCCCGAAGATTGACAGAATTTGCTTCTGGAATTTTTCCTCCCAAGTACTTATCCTCCGCCGGGCACGGTGGCACGCACCTGTAGCCCCAGCTACTCGGGAGGATGAGGCAGGAGGATCACTTGAGCCCAGGAGTTCTGGGCTGTAGTGCGCTATACTGATGGGGTGTGCGCACCAAGTTGGGCTTCAATATGGCGACCTCCTCCCGGGAGCCGGGGACCACCAGCTTGCCTAAGGAGGGGTGAACCAGCCCAGCTCAGAAACGGAGCAGGTCAATTACTTATCCTCCCCGCCTTCATTCCTGAAAGGGGAAGATATAAAAATAAATTGTGAGAGAGACTACAGATAGAAAGCTAAGAGCTGGATGGTGAATTCTTAGACTCCTCACCCACCTCAAAGGTATAAAGGAATTAAGAATGGAGTTGAGGGGATTTGTGAAGAGCCTAGTGAGAAAGGCTTCAGTAGGATCATACAGTGAGCTTGGTGTGTCCACTAAAGTTGGGACACAACTTGACTAGTGCCTGACCTTTGCCTGAAATACCTAACGGGCGACATAGCAGCTGACCAGCTCCTGACAGGCAATCAGATGAGAGGTAGCCACCATGGAATTGGCCTGCAGGCCCAGCGTCTGTCAGTACAAAGAATGTGTGTGTTTATGAATCATCGTGGAACCGTGCTAGGTCCTGTCCACAGACTCTCCTGGAGGTGAGCAGAGGCTTCTTCTGCACAGAAAAGCAGAAGACATCCCTCATGTCTAGGACTGCAGTAGGGAAATATATTCACTCAGACAAGGATGTAAGTAAAGGGAAATCTAGAGAGAACCCACAAGAAGGCTGTTATCACTTGGTAGCACCTGATCTATCTCAGGATAGCACCGGTCAAGTAAGAATTCCTGTATCCTTTATACATCTCCCCTACCCCTGTCCCTGGAGAGGTCAGAAACTATAGTTAACGATCTAAGGGAAGTTGAGTAAA